CAGCCAATCAGATGCCAGAAAAGAACTATACGTACAGTACGTACTGTACGTACTGTACGCTAAAATTTTTCAGGTATTATATAAATGGCACATCACTAATTACTACCAAATTTGAAAATTAAAAATCATGTGACGCATATAAATTACTACCTGACTTTAGTCGATCTCTAATTTTATGTTATTATACTATATATGTAAATGTAATCTGGTTTCTTGAACATCTAATAATCTTTGTTTATTAAAATAGCATCACATTTCTTCTAAAATAAACAAAATCCCAAATGGCAAAATATCTCAATAGTTTACAGCACTTGAAAACTTAACTATTAACAACTGCATCAAGCGTATCATTCACCTATATCTTAATCTCCCATCAACCAACTATTATAGCTACAGCACTGGTCACTTTTATTATCGTTATGCAATAAACGCATAAATTTTCCGATTATGACCAAATGTCGTCATTTTTGGTTATCCGCATAAAAATGTCGTAATTAATTTAGATCACGTTTCAGATCACATTTTCGGATCTGATCCAATCAAAATTGTTAAAACGTACAACCCAGAAATAAGATGAACCAAAATTTATCTGTGAATTAATTGACTGTAATAATAACTTACCTGTAATTAAATTCTCTGCGAACTAAGCTGCCTAGTAGTTGTTGGTGAACTGATACTACTAAATAAAATGTTGAAGTCAGTCTATTGATAGCGATAGACCTGATTACGTACTAAGTTCTCAGAGTAACACGAATATCAAATCCGGTATGCTCATACACGAACAGTAGCAGTATGTTACACCAGCACAACACATTGACATGTGAAAACATAGACTTTTAACACCCAATCTAATGCAAGTTTTTGCGAACTCGCCATTCTGATCCGTCATGCATGACTACGTTCCTGGTAAGACTATATGTGGCCCCATACACGGCATGATGAGTTTAAATTTATTTCCGCTATCCCTATAAACAAAACCACAATAACAAATACTATCACAATATTAGCATCTCTTAAAATTAGCATTAAAATTTAACAAAATCCTAATAATCAAAGTAATAAAAAGTCTTTTACTCTAACTACTATTTATTTTAACTAACGTTATAATGCTTCATTCCATATTTGTGGCTTTGACAGATTAAATTTGGTTTAGTTACAAATGAGATATACCATCTTTATAGCATGGACTGGTTCGATGACTTATGAAAATTTAAGGAATTTATTTAATAGTGACGAGGTTCATATTGTTTTCCTTTGATTTACAAAACTTTTATGTAATCTTATTAATATTTTCAAATTTTATATATTTGGTTAGGTCCAAGATATTCGATTTCTACCAAATAAACAATTCGCTCATATCGATTTTATGACAGAAGCAGCGATGATGTATGCTTTAAGGCTTCATGGCGAGGTATATACTTGATTATGTATTTCGAGTAATTTATTAATAATTGTTAATAAACTTCACTTTATTAAACAGACCAGATCACAAATAGGGAAATTAAGAGTAGAAGAGGGAAGACCTCGCGGTAAGGTTTGTTAAAATAATTTCTGCTTGATTCAACTGTATATCTTCTAAGTTTTTTTTTTATATAGGGTATGGAGTCAGACCAGTTAGACCTCGATATTTTTTTCAGATTGAGAAACAAGGATCTGTCAATTCTAAGAAGTTATGACTATTTAAAGATCTGATTTATATGTCTTAATAAATAACATAACTATGTCAAAGTTGCGCCTATATTAAGGGTGACTAATTCTTCAAAGTGCATAAGACACGTGAATGTAGGCAATAAAAAATTTCTCTCACTCCTTATAAAGATCCGGTAGAAACTATTATGACTCATGCCGTAAAACAATGATGGTTCTGCCGCATCTCTAGTCTTCAGTATTGCCACCAAAGTTTCTGAATATGTGGTTAATGTACTAATCAAATCGTAAGCTAAATTTATATACTATAACTAAGATTTTAAATATTTTTAAAGGTTTTAATTGAATAAATAGATATTATTTATACGTTGTTACTGAGTTTCTTAACTCTTTGGAATATTGTCGCAGTGCTACGCGGTACCCATGTGACCAGTGATCGGGTACGTTGATCGAATATCAATTGCATGAATGGCGCGATTTAATTAAAAGTCTAAAGTAGTGATTGCATGAACAATGTGTAATTAGTAGCGATTAGTATTGCATGAACAATGTAATAATCAAACAGTCTAGGAATATACCCGATTAGGAAATCGGGTTCTAGAATGATCGACGCGGAGATCATGAATTTTATTAGCTCTTGCATTTTTTTTTCACTGCGGGGTTTTACAATATTCTGTATTTCACTCGTTATTAAACGATATAAAGATAGATACTACAAAGCTTATAGATCTGATCATCCCAATTAATCCCTTCCGATCAACTGTCTACAAAAAGGTAAATGAGACGCAAAGTTAAAGTATTTACCTTGTGCATTTTTGAATTAAAAGTTAACTAGACAATAATTTAAACGTTCTTTGATAGCTTTTACTTACTTAAATCTAATGACAAACTCTTTTTTATATCTTTTTTTTAAACTTAGTTAAAGAATACAAGTTGTCGGGTTAAGATCTTAAAAAACAAAAGATTACTAAATAGCAGTATTACGTTTCAATATAGTTAAGTGTTTGCATTCTTATTCGATTATTGTTTATAATGATTTTTGAGTTGTTTTCAGTATGCTAATAATGGGAACCTTCATAAATGTTTAAGAAAAAATTTAGACAGGCAAAATGGTTGATTCACGATTTGCAGGATACATTTTTGTGGATTTTCATAGTAGCAATATACCGCATATATAAATTGTCTAGAAAAAAGATGAAAGAACCTATAAGATATTTATAGAGTTATATCATATGTTGTACTAGAAGTTTTATTAGACGAGCGGCAGTTGATACTAGCAGATTTATAATTTGGTATTATTATGGCTGAGTAGGCAAACCTTTTTGATAGTTATAAATACAATACAAAACTTGTAATCAAGATTTGCAAAAGATCGCGATCAGGGTTTGCACTTGGAACTTCTAAATGACATATTGAATTAGATGAGAAATGTATGAGTTCTGATTCACGATAATAGCCTAGGGCTTATGATGATGAAATTAAAAAGCAATTCTTAGATGCAGGTAAAGCTATTAATTCATTGCCGGTACTATATCATTCTGATGAAATATACACTACCAAAATTATTAACATAAATTAATTTCAGAGCGATGATTTAGTGAACGAACATTATTTATAATTGGATTTTGAAACAGAATTTTAATTTATTTTGCATTAAATTTTAATCAATATAATTTTTATTTTATTAAATATGTACTGTAATTTTAACTTATTTGAATAAATACAATATATATATATATTTAAATTACAGTAATAATTAGAGTATATAGTTTTTAAGTACATTAATATGCGCATTATTACTAACCTGTGAGTAAATAAATATTCACGAATTTGAATATTATACAGCGCTGTATACGTAAATCTTAAAAAGCATTCCCTTTAAAAACTATCCCAATTAGTAATGCGGTAGAGTCATCCCAATGAAGTTCTGATAGATTTTTTAATATGAAAATTTATGGCGTGGCATAACTTTTTATTAAGCTACAAATAAGCCATAACTCAAAAATTTATTAGAACTTCATTGGGACGATTCTACCGCATCACTAATCCCGATACTGATCAATTGATATAATTCGAACCCGTTATATGACCAACCCACTCTCTTTACTTACATAAATCCTTTTATATTAGTGATGCCAAAGGAAAATAAGACTTCAATCAATAAAATTTAT